TAAACACATACCTATATGAAAAATTTTATTATTTCCCATAAATTCTGCTTCTGTCAACAATGCAGAATCAGTATTTGAAAGAGAACATAATAAAATGTGTCCAGATATACTTGCTGCTTGATTTAGTTTAGACTTCAGGAATAATGGGAAATCATTAGTATCAAGTACAGTACTGCCTGACACTTGTTGCTCAGAACCTGTGTTAAGTGAAGCCAGTGTCACTTTCAAGGCAGAAGAAAGCAACTTTCTGTGTCCCCCAGATTTTCACTTCAGTTCCAGAAAAACCTAGTTTGTCTACTGTGTGTCGGGTTCTGAGACAGCTTTCAGGAAAATAACGGCACAGCGCCCAGTTTTCAGATTTTCACAGCCCCATGGAGAAGCAGAACATGTGACTACAGTGAAACAATTGTAATTCTGCTTTACAGAGTATAAAGGAAGTCATGCTTAGGAGGAGTTCAGGGAAAGCCTTCACAGAAATGGTGATTCATGAGCAGAAATTTTAACAAAAGTTCATTAGGTGAACAAAGAGAGAAGGCTGATGGAGGTGAGATAAAAGTGTGAAGTTATAAGAGTCTAAAACAGCTCCGGGAGTGTGGGTGTTTGGTATTTGCTACAAAGTAGAGTCTGGGGAAATTGGAGAAAAGGGATTGAAGTGGGAGAAGGCCAAATGTGGCTGTAGTGAAGAGAAACGAAGGGGCCAGGAAATGAGTCTTAATTGCCATGTGTAGTGCCTTGGATTTTACCCTTAGAATGATTTAAGGTTTTTGAGCATGTCATTTTATGGTCACATTTCCATTTTGGAAAGATTATTTGTGATTAGCTTAAGGAGAATGGTGTGGTGGCAACAAGATTGTATGGTAGCATGGAGACCTAGTTAAAAGGGTAATGCGATACTTTAAATGAGTGTTGAGATGATTTTCTGGTGTAAAACTTTCTGTTGATTCATAAATATGCTGCCACATTTGTGACTGTTGGCAAATTAAAAATATTTGTAGTATTCAGTAGAACGAATTCATTGCTGCTTTTATAGTTTGAAATTATTCATGGAATTAATAGCATTAAAAAATTGAAAGAGGGTTAGTATTTTATTTGTCAGTGGAATTAAACCACTCAACTTCTCACACAAACAAAAATCTTGTAATTGTGTTATATAATGTGGAATATAACCTTACAATGATATATTGAATTTTTAATATATACTTATCTAGTTATTTGTAGAATTGTGCATATTTGAAAACAAGTACATGATATGCTTAGTACATCGTAAGTACTCAGTAACTATTTGCTGAGTTTGCATTTGATGCTTGTGAGTTTTAACGAAGACACTTTATTAATTCAAGTCCTGGAATAAGTGACATATATATATATTTTTTTTAAATAAAGATAGGACCTCGCTCTGTCACTCAGGCTGGAGTACAGTAGCACAGTGATGGCTTGCTGTAACCTTAAACTCCTGGGCTCAAGTGATTCTCTTGCCTTAGCCTCTGGAGAAGCTAGGAATATAGGCACACACCACTACGCTCAGCTAATTTTTTAAATTTTTTGTAGAGATGGAGTCTCACAACAGCCCAGGTTGGTCTCAAATTCCTGGGTTCAAGCAATCCTCCCATCCCGACCTCCCAAAGTGCTGGGATTACAGGCATGAGCCACTGCACCCACCCATGACTGATACTTTTAAGCAGAAAGTTAAATTCCAAACCAACAGAAAAAAAAAAATGTTTTTCAGGGAAAATTAAAGTCACAAATACATATAAGATGCTAACTTTGCAAAGAGCCTGTATTTAAAAGATCATTGCAACTCATATAATTGGAAAAGCACGTTTGAAAATAGCTTTAAATTTTCTCACAGAAAATATGACGTATGAGTTTTCCTATGAAATCTTTGTTTTAATGCATGAATTCTCAGTTCTTAGTCTCTACAGCAAGACACAAAAGTTAAGAGTTGAAGAGATTAGCATATCCATAGCATTGAGCGGGGTATATATTATTAGCTTACCACATCTTTGTCAATTTGAACCCAGGATTAAAACAAAATGTTGCTATTTAAGTACATATGGTAGTACACAACTACAACATAAATGTTAGACTGTATGTCCCTAACCAAATAATGGAATAATGATCAGTATCCATCAAGTGTTAGTTATCTGCAGTTCAGACTAATACTCTGGAAGCAGATTCTTTTATATTAGCCAAACTTTGTTTACATTTATGTAGAATATTTTCAGTGCATAGAGTTTTATGACTGCAAAATTATTACTTTGCATTTGATACCAGATTTTATTTCAATTTTCAGATTATGTTCAGGTTTTAGAGGTTAAGATGAATTTGCTATGCTTGATTTTTATAGAAGAATTTAAAAAAGTAACATTTTAGTAGAATCTGTTTATCTTGTCTCTTTTTTCCCCGTATGATAATTGATTGTAGTACATTACTTTGAGGAAAGTTTTTTAGCAAAATGTATTTTTACTTCACACTCTTAATAGATTTCTGTTAGGGGAATCACTGGTGACATGTTTTAAAGCAGAGATCTTTTCATGCTTATTTTTACTATTTAATGAGATTTCAGGTATATTTTAACAACTTGGGGTTTCCGTGATGAATCATTAAAATAAATGAGTGGGCTGGAAGGTAATACTAACTTTTCTCACCACTGCCCTATTTTACTCTGCTGGGTTATTGGTTGCTTTTTAAATAGAACCTGGGTGTGTTGGTGGGTGGAGGTGCAGAAGGGAAGGGAGAGAAAGGGTCAGTAAGAAAATACCAGGTAAACTTCTGATGACCTACTGAGAAATACTGCTCAAGTTTCACTTTCCCCAAATTAAGCCATTTAGTGTTTAAGCCCACTGTTTTTTGCTTTAACAAGCTTAAGTTTCCAAATATTGCATATAGGTAAATCAAAACTATATTTTCAACAATTGATTGAAGTTTTAAGGTATCAAGCCATATGTGGATTAGCCTGTGGAATCAATTTCTCATGTGTGTGGGATCAAAACCGTTAAAACCATCATCACTGAAACTGTAGCTTCCTACAACTAATAACAGAAAGATGTCTATGGAATATATTAATACAACAATTTCTCTGATTTAAAATTATTACTAGGTGTTTGGTTGGAAAATGATTTGAATATTATAGGTAACTAAATTGACGTCATATGAAGGCTAATTACAGGTTTCAGTGTGACTGAAATTTTTTTTAATTGACATATTTAGCATATACTTTTCAGTAAATCAATGGCATATTGCAAATTTTTACTATCTATACTGTTAAAAACATTTCAACTACCACAGCAGTTCTAAGTGCTAAAGGAGGTAGATAAAAATGTAGTTCACCTTGAAAATGATCATGGCTTAGGGAATAAAGAAATTGGGTCAAGCCTAAAATAATTGCAGGTACAATGACAAAAAGTTTTAATAAAAATTTAAAAATACTCACAGCACTGGTTTCAGGCTACTTTTGTTCTCTGTGATCTTATCAATGCATTATTAGTTTTTAATTGGGATGATGCTAATGGTGATTTTTCATTTTGGTCAAAATGTTTGTATGAAATACTATTGATATTTTCACATTGTATCCCCTTTCAATTATAAATATACGTTTTCAAAAAGGTAGACAATTCTTAAATAGAGCATTTTGACTTCTGATGATCTTAAATAGAATTTGAAATGGTATAAAATATTTATGTCACAGCTATCACTTTGACTTATTTTATATTGCCAAATTTGTTGTTTAGCGTTTAGCCATGTATCATTAAATCATAGTATCGATAATGAATTAAACTTTCAAAAAGCTTTAATAGTATAGTAAGTTTTCATTCATCTGGTGTCATTGGGGAATAAATTGTGCTGAAGAAGTGAGTTTTTCTTTAACTGAAGCTTATTTAAGCAGAAAAACTTAAAAATTGATAAAATTTATCTGAAATATTTTATATACTCTTTTAGGCAGCAAGCATGGAGCGGCCATTTACTCTTTTCTTAATGTCGTATAATACCATTCTGAGTGCCATGCAAAAAGGACATGGGTTTTCTGTTTGGTATTTGTTTTCTAAACTAAGTTTTTTGTTGTTTCTACCTTTTCAAGTGCCACATCCCTAATTTACGTATTCTTTTGTTGTTGTTGTTGTTTTGAGATGGAGTTTCGCTCTTGTTGCTAGGACTGGAGTGCAGTTGTGCTATCTCGGCTCACTGCAACCTCTGCCTCCCAGGTTCAAGCAGTTCTGCTTCTGCCTCCCAAGTAGCTGGGATTACAAGCATGCGTCACCATGCCTGGCTAATTTTGTATTTTTCGCAGAGACAGGCTTTCACCGTGTTGGCCAATCTGCTTTTGAACTCCTGACCTCAGGTGATCCATCTGCCTCGACCTCCCACAGTGCTGGGATTACAGGCGTGAACCACCGCACCCAGCCTCATTCTGGTATTCTTAATCAGTTTAAATGTTTCATAATTTAAGGTTTCTGGTGGTACTTGGGACAATGCTTTAACAGGCTCATAAACTCAGGCACCAATAGGAGACTTTTGGCTCTCTGCCATCTTCTGGCAAACATCTGGCCACAGCCTCCTCCTATAAAGGAAACGCTGTCCTTGGTTTGGAGTTAGCACCTTAAACAGTGAGGCCCTATTACTGCTGGTTCCAAGTACTCCTTAGTAGCCTTTGCTAGTGGTGCAAAAATGTCTGTATTCACCCTACATGCTTGTGAACATCTGCGGTATCAAGGTGACCACTTGTAGCTTTCTCTGACTATTGCTGAAATGGGCAAATAGTGTATTTCCTTTGTATTTTAGCAAATTCCACCATAGCAGCGAAGTGTTTTTTTTTTTTTTCTTTTTCTTTTTTCAACCTCATGCTTATTTGTTTCAAGCAGTTTTCTAAAACAAAACTCAAGCTTAGCCAAAGTATTTGAACTGTTCTTTAATGTACTGTATGCCATTTGGTTTGAATCATATATTTAAAAACCAGCTTCCCCTCATTTACTTGTATCTAATGGGAATCATCTTTCTTCCAGGTTGTGCTTCAAGAAGACCATAGGGAAGAACGCATTTTCATCTTGCTGCAAAAGTTGCAATAGAAGTAAGTAGGGGAACTGCCAGGATATGTCTGTCTCCACAAAACAAGTAGAACAAATTTCCATGAATCAAAGCCACTAAGTATAGTTTTCAGAGATGGTAGGACATAGTTATTTTCCCTAGAAAAACACCCCAAATGCAGGCACACCCATTGGCCAATGGAAAAAATGTTCACGTAAATGCTAGTTCAAACCTGTACATTTCACTCTTCTTACTGAACTGTCAGAGGGGTGGAAATCTACTATAGCTATAATCTTTTTTTCCCCTTTTCTATTTTTCGGCCTCCCACATGCTTAGTGTTCAGTTCTGCCTACTGAGCGTCTTGAATCTACAGCAGCACCTACATGTACTGCCTCCACAGTGGCTGCTGATAATTTGCAGATAACTTGTGAACCAGGCCCATAAGAAACATCATGATATGTACTTTAGATTAATCATGGAAAAGGACAAGATGATGAAGAATCAGAAAGCAGTTTTCTTTTCCAATATTGATATTGCTTTCTTTGAGGTTAGATGAGTGAGGTATTCTTTAGAGTGGTTTATATCACATTTCATCACTTGGGGAAATAGGTCGTTTTTACAGGAGCCTTTAGAGACTTTTTAAGTACATACAGGGCATATATTTAATACACCTTAGCATTAGTAGGTCAGAGGAAATAAAGCAAGATAGTAGATATCTACGATGTAATCAGGTAAGCAAATTAATGTGAAACTGCTTATATTCTGTCTTGAAACTCTTGGTATAATTTTCAAAATTGCCTTTTATTCTTTTCAGTTACTTTCTAGAAATTTCCATCATTTGAAGGATTAATGGCTACCACTTGTTGAACCTAGAGTGTGTCTGTGAACTTGTTGAACACTGCCTTATTAGAACAGAAGTCTCCAGTGGACCATGAACTCTGCATAGCTGGGACTCTGAGCTTACTTCTTGCTCACAAAACCTGCAGGGCTCTCAAATTCATGTTTAAAATGCAAGCTACTGACAAGGAACGGGTAAACACCCACTGCAATTTCAAACGCATATGTATATCCACTTTCCTCATCTATTCTTGGTGGGTAGGAGACCACGATTGAAAATTACTGAACTTAAAATGGTAGAAAATTTGAAGAGATTCTTTCTCCTTAAGTAGAGTGATTTATACTAATGGTGGGATGGGCTAAATACCTTCTTACTGTTTGTAGTCTACTGTGCTTCACATGCATTTTCTAATTTTATCTTAACAACACACGTCTGAGGTTAGTACTGTTGTCTCTATTTTGGAGATGATGAGACTGGGTCCTACAAAGTTAGGTAACTTGTCCAAGGTCATACAGCTTGGAAGTGACAGAGCTGAGGTTCAAACGTGTATGTCCTTGATCCTAGGATTCGTGCCTTTTCCACCTGAGGACCACTGATTCTTATTTTGCATTTAAATGAAATACACATACATAGCCCCCACCCCCCCGCCCACATAATATATAAATATGTTCTCCCATCCTCCCAAATGCTCATTGGAAAATTTAGACATCAAAAAGAAGCCTTTTTGCTTTGAAATGCAATTTAAGTGGCCATTACTTTGAACAAAGTGAAGTGTAGTTTTATTAGTGAAGAACATCATTGAGTCATTGAGACTAATAATTTTGTGGAACAACATTATTAAGAAAAGCAATATGCTATTTAATGAGTAATATTTACTTAAGTCATAAAGGAAAATTCAAACATCTGGAATTTTTTTAAGCAATATAGCATTTATGCATGGAATGATGTTTTCCCCCTATGTCTTACAGGAAATAACATATAATTTGAGATGTATATGAGAGATTTTATGTTCATAGATACCTTTTATTTCACTGAGCACATTAACAAAAATTGTATTAAAATGAAAAATTGCTTGATAGCAAATTCTCTGTGATGAAATTTTATCATGTCTTTATTAACCCCATTATTGCTACTTTATCTCTCTTAATAGGTTGCTTGTCTAAAGAAAAGTTGTAGAAATCTTATTGGTTCACGCACATACAACTTTACCACATTGTTTTGGTGTTCCTTTGGGGGTGATATATTGGCCAATGTGGGGAAGTGATCAAAGTATGTGTAGTGTCTCAAGAAATTGCATCCTCAAGTTTTTAACACTAGAAAATAGAGTTTTGCATATGGTTGATATGCCTTCTTTTAAATACGTATTCACTAGGGGCAGTTATACCTGGTGAATTTAGAGATGTAGTAATACAAGAGTTACAGAATCAGAGAATTTCTGAACCAGAAAGGGCCTAATAAATGAAGGGCTCTTGAAGTGAAAGTCGTCATTAGGAGATGAGTTCAGTGACTGTCCAAGACTAGAGCTCTAAGTCAAGTAGTTTCTGAGATTACTGAGTTGGGCTTATAGCCGAACAAACCAGGAAGTGAGTGATCACAGCAGGTGAGGGCTTTCAGCTTTGTGGTGTTGGAGAATAAACTAAAGTCATAGGGGAGATAATCGTACGACATGAGGAAAACAAATCAGAAAAATAAAGACACTTTTATTTCTTCTTATTAACACAAATGATATAAAACTTTAAGTGTTATATACTTTTTAAAATAATGGGATAAGCCTATTTTAAAAAATAATACATTGCTAAATTATTTGTATTTTCTGAGTATAAAATTTGAGCTTATTTTTATTTAAAATTTTATACATGTATGTAATGGAAAAATACACATTTTTTGGTTGTTATCTAGGATCTGAAGGTTTGAACGGGCCAATGAGTATCCTCATCATTGAAGCATTCTATGGAGGCTCCCATAAACAGCTGGTGGATCTTCTCCAAGAAGAGTTAGGAGACTGCGTCCTTTATACTCTTCCTGCAAAGAAATGGCATTGGAGAGCCCGGACATCTGCTTTATACTTCTCTCAGACCATTCCCATCAGTGAGCATTACAGGTAATTAGAGCTCAGGATGCATTTTCAGCTTTTACAAAAAAATACCTATTACGAGGGTGTTGCTTCTCTATCAGCATCTTTGAGAATTTCTGCAACTATGGAATTGGTTATTATGACTACAGTAGATATTTCTTTAGAGAAAGCAGAGCAGTGAAGTACACTCATCCTCTAAAGACACCTGGTCAGTGGGAAAGAAGCTTCATTTAGAACCAACCACATGTGTTTTCTCATTGTCTTGTGATTTCATTATGTACATGGGTGTGAGTGTGGGTAACAATTTTTGGCCTAAGAGTAGATCTTCTAGTTTGATTCATTGTATCTGCTCTGTACGAATAACCAGAGTTGAAAGGCGGGTATGTCCAAGGCTTTAAAGTCTGTTGAGGTAGAGATAGGCAAGTGCAATGAGAGGTGAAAGATGGAGAGGTTGATTTGGACTGTGACAAACTGGAAGTGGCTTTATAGAGTTGGTAACCTTTGACCTACTCTTGAAGGATGAGTAGATTTGAGGGACACAGAACTCAATTCTGAATTCTGGTTTGTTAGGAAGTAGGAAATAGGAGGACCTATTAGAAAGGGTCTCATGAGCTGGGCATGGTGGCATGTGCCTCCGGTCTCAATTACTCAGGAGGCTGAGGTGGGAGGATTACTTGATCCCAGGAGTTCAAGGCTGCAGTGAGCCAGGATTGTGCCACTGCACTCCACCCTGGGCAATGGAGTGAGACCCTCATCCCTAATAATAATAATTTAGAAAATAAGAGTCTTATGGGACACACTGAAAAGATGGAGGTAAATACTCATTACCTTTTAACTGAGAGAAGAGACGGGATGGAATCCCCTTGAACATCTCTTCCTCCTTATTCTCCATTTGTATGTATTCCTGTGTATTCTCCTGATGGTTAAATAGTGGAAGACTATCCTATGGTGGTTAACATAGCTAATGTTTTTGCCATTTATTATCACAAATAATATAAAACTTTAAGTGTTATGTACTTTTTTAAATAATCGGATAAGCCTGTGTGTAGGACTGCATTGGTTTGGGCAAGAATGAAAAGTTTTGGGCTGATAATGAATGGAGTTAGAGCAGATAGGTTCTTAGAGGAAGAGCATGTTGGAAGCTGCAATGCCCACCTTACCTCCAGTACCTGTACCCATCTGCTGCTTGTAAAGTGGCCACAGGAGACATAGCAGCTTGTGACTTAAATGTAACTTGCTGTTCCTAGTAGGAACTTGAGGAATTCAGAGAGTAACTATTTTCTGTATGAAAGCCATGTATCGTCTCTGAGAATGCATAGCGTCAGATGGAATAACGGTGAGCATTCCAGTTACATGGCTTAGGATTTTAAAAGTAAAATGCTGTTTTAGTGCGTATTCAGAATTTTTTTTTTTAATGTAAAGTGTATCCTTCTTTACATAATTTAGTGTTTTATATTCTGATATAGTGAATATTGTGAATATAGTAATAAGTGAATATTGTTGAGTCACTAATAGTATGAGGAATTTCAATGAACATGTTAATATAAAAGTTGTGACTATTGCTGTGTTAAAATATGACTGTTTATGGTTGCTTTCACATCCCATTTAATTGTGTTTTTGCAGCACCAATTGTATTATATTACTTAAGGTCAAGTAATCCAGTTGACTTTATGGCACTTTTTCATTTAACAGTACCATTAAATATAATAAATTTCTACAGTGATTAGAACATTAAAATGAGCCATTTCTATATCTCTTGTTTGATTTCATTTTGATTATGCAGTTTTTCAGAATTACATTATTGTATCACAAATATATGTGTGTGGATAGCAAGCAAACACTTCTGCGCATATGGCTTCCCTACTCCCTTTGAAGCCTGAAGCATTTGAGGCTAAGTGTCACAGTGCTCTTTGAAGCAGTCTTATTTGGGAGGTGGATATCTGAAAGATGATGATGTATAAAGCCTTACTCTCTGATAGCCATAACCTCCACGGCCTAACAATGGTGTCTGTCATCTTTCAAGGTATGCCATTTAGCCTTTGCAGTTAACCATACTAATGTAATCAGTCTTTAACCCAAAGACATGTCTTGCTAGTTTAACTTATATTTGAACAATGATAACTTCTCTACTCTTTACCAAGTAACTTTTTTGAATACTTTTAGAAAAATAGCAGTAGCATGAAAACTTGATCGCACAATACTAAGTTAACAAATACGTGCATTCAGTCCTAGATTGAAGTGCAAGAGTAATCTTTTGTTACACCAAATAAGTCTGAGATCTGTGGAGCGTTTTAAAGATATGAAAAATTTGTGCTCTCCAATTGTTACTTTTTTGTATACTTGGTACATGAAATCATCAAAACTCATAAAGGTAAAATGATTAAACACCAATATTGCCTTCTATGCAAAATACTCTGAACAAATACGATTGTGTCTGATGAGAAAGACTTTGAATGTAGGTACATATTGGTGTTTTTCTCACTTCTGAACATGTAGTTGTTGTTGTTATAATCTTACTATCTGAAATGTATTTTATTATTAAAAGAATAAATACTTCAGCCTAATTAATCAGTTTGATTCTGCTTTATCTTGACAACTAAAAGAATGTATCATGGTTCATGTTAGAGATGTTTAGTTTTACTATAGATTACGAAAGCTCAAGTTATTCTGTCAAAAGTTGTCAATAGTTATTGTTATTCTTAGGTTATATTACAGCTTTGCCTTAGATACTTCACAAGGTACAGAAAAAAGTTTTGACTATGGGGCTTGAGGGAAGGCATTAACTTTTGTGTTATGAAATGTTAATCATTCGTTCCAGGATGAAGCATTTCTACTTTCTTAGACTGTACCTTAAACTAGATATCGAGGATATTTTATTCATTTTTCATTCTGTAGTATCTTTACTGAACTGAAAGAATCTCTGTTATTTAAAAATCATTTTTTTTCACCCTCAGATGCTTACAATTACATTTTTTTGTTTCATCTGAGGTATTGTGACAGATACTGATCATTGCCCACTTAACAGCCTTCTTCCTTGTTAACAGAATCACAGTTTTCTTTAGGATGGATAAGTATCCAGCCCTTGGGAGTGAAGCAACATGGACTTAAATTAGTTAGGATGATCCCATTCTCCTTTGCCAAATTTTCCCTACTCTCCTTGCAGCTTGGGTTGATCAGTCTCCAAGTTGTGGCAAATTAGAGTTAAGTGGGTGACTACTGGGAGTTCTTCCAGCAAAGTGGTTTGATTTTAAATTTTACTTATAAAAGAAGAAGGCCAACTCCCCTTTCTTACATTTGACTGGTTGTGATGTCTGCAACCATGAAGTACAAGCATGAGGACAGAACCCCTGGATTGCCATAAATGGCTGATGGGAGGCTGCAAAGTGCCTGGATTAGTGATGGATATGTGATTTGAGTTCAAGTCTGGCCACCTGCAAAGACTATATACTATTCGTTCTTCTTAAGTCCATTGTCTTAACAACTATTCTGTCTTAATTCCAGTTAAAGCATGGTAAATTATTTAATTAAATTAAACCTAAATATGTCTTGATTAAAATATATATTATTGTATTTTACAATTAGAAGTAGGTATGGTACTTCACCCAGTCTTGAGACATATTGCTATTCTTGATTCTTGTTGGACGCTGGAGGGCCAGACACCACATGTTTTCTGGGTCTGTGAATCTGTGATGTTCTCTTAATCCTCAAAAGTCACAGGTCATTTGAATTTTCCTCTTTTGAGGCTTTTCTGTCATTTAGCCTACTAGCTTTGCTATCCTATACTGCCTTGTTGTGGGGTCTTCTTTTGGTTTGTTTTTGTACCAGTCTTGCTCTCCTATCTAGCCAGCACACACCGCGGCCTAATTCTAGACTTGCATGGCCCTTAGGGCTTCTTCCACAGTATTTCATCTCGCTAAAGTTTCCTCTGATTGACAGGATTGTTTAATTTAGGCATGCTGACTTTATGTTGAAAATGTAGCTGACAATTAGTTAGGATGATCCCATTCTCATCCTAGATTCAGTAGATCTACGAATCTACTGAAGTAGGATAATCCTGCAAACCAAATAGCCAACCATTTGGTCAGTCTCTGCCACTTTCTGTCTGTCTCTTTCCCCTCTCCCCCTCTCTTCTCTTTCTCATATACACATATATGCGTGCGTGCGCGCGCACATACATACACACACACACACACCTGCACACACATTCTTCATTGTAAAACTAGAACTTAAACCTGTCATCATTATCCCTAAAGGATGGTTTCTAGGCTTCCTCTTTTCCATGTTCCTTTGTGTTCCTTTGTCAGTGCTCTCGATGAAAATATTCCAGTTAGGAGGGGGACAAGGTTTTCTTGTTATGGAGTTTGTAGTTTATTCTTACCACAGATTGCCAATTCAAAAGTGTTTGTGTAGTTAGTAGCAAGCACTGTGAAACCATTGCTTCCCAGGAGTTAAGCACTGCAGTGCAACTTCAAGTAGATACTTTTAATATCCTTTCTAGCTTATTTTACAAAATAAAATATTACATGTAAGGTTCTATACGGCTCCCTGGGTAGCAGTTCATATGGATACAAGACATTATTCCTAACAAACCCTGTGCCTTAAAGACCTCTAGGATAAATCTCTTGTATATTTACCCTTTAAATTTGACAACTGTATTTTAAAAGACAAACTGGATGTTTATTATACTTTTACAGAGGGGAGACAATCATTATTTTTAATGAATGGAATGGAAGATAAAAGGGGAAAAATCCCATCCCCAAATGGATGCAAAATATATTATATAAAAGAACTCTGACTGTAGAATAAGGGCCATCATAGTTTTGCTTTTATAATTAATGTGCTTGTTTTTAACGTAATAATTGAGACTATTAGTCTGATTTTAGAGCACTTCTTATCTAGTTGTTTTTAAGTGTTGAGTGTCTTCATGGTTAGTCTGCATATGACAGGAAAAAAATTAGAAAAATGAAAGATGTATTTAATTCTGCTTTCATCTCTAACATTTATTTGTTTATCTGAGAAAGATTTTA